TAGGAGACAATCTTTTAAAGACTCAGCATATTTTCTACTCTACCGTAAGCACCTTGAAAATGAGACTTAACCAGCAATAAATTCTTTTAATATTTTGTCACCTGCAGATTTCGCACTGGAACTGGCCTTTACTACTGTTTCAGTTCACGTTTTGCACAAGTAGAAGTGAAAAAGAGCAGCGCACCATGAACCATCTCAGCAAACGAATGCACCTGAAGTGTAACTCATTGGAGAAAACTGGACACTTGAAAATACTGAAGTGACTCAAAGGTTTAAAAAATATATATGTATTACGAGAGCCACAAAAAAGGTTACAGACAGAGCTCCACAAAGCCTGCACGGATACATTCCAACAATTCAAGGTGGCAGAACAGGTGAAATACAGACCATAAAAACGGTTCGACATTAACTTTCCAGACTGTCAGAGACAGCAACCTTGACCCCATCTTTCCCATACAAAAAAAATACTGAATATATATATATCTATATATCTATATCTCTAGTCTGGACCACAGATATAGTCCAAAGAAAACCACATTGCAATTTCCACATTAGGCTTATAGGAGAATATGCATCATCTGAGGAACGTCCATTATAACGCCCATGAGGTGATTATCTTAGGCCAAGTTGACATAACGTTGCGCTTGGTTAGCAATTTGAGAACAGCAACACAACACAGTTCATCTGCTGCACATGGCTACTAACACATAGCTCTGTGCAACCCTCGGAGCTGACTTAACCAAACTAAGTAATTACATTTGTTTTGTTTTAAGTTAAAAAGAAAATGCAAATGTAAGATATTAGGGCAGTTCCTGCTATCACCTTTCTTAAAAACTCAAGACTTGAAGACTTCTTTAATGTACTTGCTTACAGTTGCATTGTGAGACTGTATTAATGATCTTCAGGAAATTATACCACCTTGAGGCTTTTTCCCTTGTTCACTTCAGGTTATGTCTGCATCCAGTTTCGACATAGGGGGCCAAATCCTGGTTCTATCAGTGCAGTATTTGGCCCAGAGTTTCAAAGTCTTTGCTATTCAGACTTTCCTATGAGGTCAACAAAGAAAGTAGTAAAAAAAGAAAATATTAAGGCTTCAAGTAAAAATATTTCCTCTCTCTCCCACCCATGTAGTAAGGTACATTTAATTTCATAATACTCAATATATTATACAATTAAAGATACAGAGATCCAACTTTTCAAGGCAGATTGTACTACAATGAAAACCTGGAGGCTAAATGGTAATGCATGAACAGGGAACAAACGGCTAATAAAATGCAATATGCAATGAAAATTGATGCATAAACTAAACAAAAACTATTGCTGTTTTTTAAATAAGTAATATAATCCACAGCTAAAAAATAAAAACATGTTGAAAAGATTTAAGACTTCTGAAACATGAAATAAACACGACAAAAATTAAGAAGCTACTTTACAAGATGTGTTAACTTGTGCTGGATTTTCGTGGCTGATCCCCACCTGCTGTAAATCAGCATCACTTAAGTGATGAAGCCACACCAATTTACACCAGCTGAAGATCTGGCCTGCAATGTCTGTAAAAACTGAGACTATCTGTGCAGAAGAACCTTACTGCTAATCTGTAAACTGCTTGAAGAACTATGCTTTAACATGGGCTGGATTCTGCTCCAAAATTAGACTTAATAAATAGGTCCCTAGTCCCACAACAGGAGCTATGGAAACAGACACTTACATTTATGAGAAAATAGCTGCAGGTTCAGTGCCTTGGATGGAAATGAGGCTGGATTTGCTGCATGCAATCTCCTGTTAACAGTTCTGCTTAGATTATTCTTTCAGAAGATTGAATAATTTACTCCAGGCTATGTGCACTGAATTATATGCAAACCTCAAAAGGAAAAAAAAAAAGACTTTGGTACCATTGTAAACCTATTAACAAGTCGGATGTCTCTCAGCTGTGGGCAAAACTACTCACAAAATCTATAATCCTTACATCTGAACCTGTAATGACAGAGTGCATTCATTCTTTCCTCCCTTACCCCTTGTGAACTGTGTCAAAATAACCCTGGCTATTAGTGCTCTATACACACAGTACTGTGTTTAGTCTTACTGAGAAATCCTCTCATGAACTAATGTAGTTAACTTCAAAGGCTCTTTGGCCCTTCAAGTTCCTCAGTAGCTTTTTCATTTATAAATGCAGGAGAAAGAACGATCAAAGTGGAGCATCACTGGGATGCAAATCTCAAATATTACATTGGTGCAAATTTTCAGCCTTGCTTGCATGAATTTCATGTACATATTCAAAGATACATGATAAAATGTGCCCTTGTCTAGCTCCCTAGCCCAAATTCAGTGTGTCACATATCCTGCCTTCATCAGGGCTTACATATGGCATACATGATACTTTAAAAACAAGTAAGTCTTGTGATACTCTATGCACCAGAGTGAATTCCAGTCCTTGAGGAAGTACTGCATCTTCCTGAGGAGTTAACATCAGGGTACAGTTGCAGATTAATAACAGTTAAAGATGGAAGAAAGCTATAAGGCCATCTGGTCTAGCCCCTTGCCCCTGCAGGCTCACTTCGTACAGAAATTTTTGTAATGACTGAACCAAATATAGTTTGAGTGTCCTAAATAGTTAGTCTCCAATACTCTGCCTTGGAAGACTATTCCACTGTCCCTTCCTCTCCATTTTTTCTGCCCCCTTCTAAACGTAGACCATTGGTTACCAGTGACAACCCGTTGATTTACCTTTGGTTTTACATCTTTTAGCTAAATATTTGTAAAATTATGATACTCAATTTCCATTTCATTGCTTAGCCAGTAACATGTTTTTAGCCCTTTAAATCTTCTCATCAGCCAGGCTGCCCAGTCTTTCAATATATATTGCTCCATCTGTACCTGGTCCAGTTTGCCAGCACCTTGTGGTGCCTCCAACTAAAGACAATATTCTACCTGCCAGTGAGCAAATCTGCATAGAGAGACTATTGCTTCTCTGCTCTCCAATATCCCTACAGTAGGCATTTAAAATATCACCACGTCAATAAATGCACACCAGTTTCTAGTTCACTCTCTCAGAGCTTTGGCCTATTGCAGCTGCATTGCTTTCCAGGCAACATGGAGCTTTACACAGAGAGATGATTAACTTTCTTACGTTCTCTTCAACCTTCCTCTCCAAAAAATGATGTGATGTACTAGGGTCATAATAAGTATGTATTGCAGCAGATGTCAAGATTTATCAAATCAAAAGATAAATTTTAACCAGGCAAAACTGAAGTCAATGTTTGCCCTCTGGAATAATTAAACTCAACATACATGAAAACAAGTAAGATGTTATCAATACATTTAAGATGTTATCCACACATTCTGAATTGCTACCAAATATCTGAAGAGCTCTCCATTACAGTCAAGGACTGAAAGGGATTCAATCCCTTGAAATAAATATCCTGAAAAATGATGAATTTAGCTCTCTAGTCAAAACTATTCACCAGGAAAACCAGGTGGGAAGTTGAAGTTTCATATGCTGACTGGCTCAGAGATAAATAATCATTTTTAGTGACTTGGGCAACAGTCGCTCAGGATATTCTTAATTGCACACATGATCTGGCTAGTTAGCATTGGTCCAGATCTCAGTACTTTTGACTTCTGGGATGGTAGCTGAATAGGAGGATAAAAGAGATAAGGAATGGAGAAAAGAAAAAAAAATTCCATTTGTCCCAAAATTAGCTTTGCCAGAGTCCTCATATTTGTAACAAGAGTAATGCAACCCTTTCTTGTTTCATAGTAAAGTTGTCTTTAAATCCAACAAAGTAAATGTAGTTTTCTGGAGACAGGAAAAGGAAACCTCAGCATGTTAAATAGATTTGATTGATATTATTTTAAAAAGTTGTTCCCCAGGGGAAAAAACCCAAACGGAAAATCCTTTGTCTAACAGTATTGAAGACCAGAGGGAATGTGCTAGTTATTAGGCAGGTAGAAAATTTATATCCTTTAGATGTACGCTTGGCTCAGTTACACACACTGTAAATTCAACAGATCATGATGACCTTGCTGCAAGATTACACAAACGGCACCAGGGCAAGGCAGTAAACCATGTTATTGCCTAAATCCAACAGGTAACAAGGAGGGTGCGCGGAAAGCAGCTGACAGCTGTTTAAAATATGTTCCCATCCAAACATTTCCTTCCTTATCTGCTTGGTTTTGTTTCCGAGTCAGAGAAGCCTTTAAAAACCAGAGGGAGCAAGAGGTCAGAGTGGAAGATCCTTACTGGTGTTGCAGTCCTTCTCCACGAGAGACGAACACACACACATGCGCACGCACACACACACACACGATTTCACACACAGGGAGGCGAATGGCAGACAGTGAGAAGCTGTTGTTATCCTTTTTCCTGCTCCCATCCGGAACTAGGGAGCAGGGAGGCTTTTAAAGACGACACGGTGTTTATGGCCCAAGTGCTCTTGCCTTTCTCCTTCCCAGGAGGAGGAACCCGACCTGCAATGCCTTGGGGACACAGAGCAGTTCTCGCACACGCAGACTGCCCAGCACAGGAAGCCTGCTTTCCACGTCGGTAGGAAAACAGCAGTTGGGCCTCTGACTCCTGCTGGACACATTGCTGGCCAGAAGAACTGGAAAGGGGCATGGGAAAAACTGAACGATCCTGGACTGACCGTACTTTTTCACAGCACAACTGGTACACAACAGGTTTGTTGGACACACACACGCACAATGGCTTTGGCGCTCTCTTGCATGAAAGAAATCCACTCTGTGGTTGTGGTAGCCAGTTCCCACCTCTTCAGGAAGGTTCAGGAAGAGTCTGATGGACTGTACAATTTCATTCCCTCAAAAATAAGGCTGCAGCTGTTTTTTGGCCAAAAGAGAAAGATGATAACAGAACAAACCCAAAACAAGAAAAGGAGAGTGGCCAGCTTCTGCTGCTCCTTCTTTGTTGTTATTTGAGTCTTCACAGTGCTCCTAGCTTCATGGCTGGCTGAGTGGATGGCTCTTTATTTTTAATTAATTTTATTTTACACTGAAATTTCATAGGTTGTTCCACCAACTCCAGAGACCTTCTTAACATTTGAGTGTCTAGCAGGGCTGACAGGTGTCCCCTGGGAACTTGATGTTGAACCCAACCTGGATATTCCTTTTGGCTGTCCGTTTATTTTACTGTGAGGTGTCTTCAACTGCATGTCATCCCTGCATCAAAATAAATACCAGAAGATGCAATGTTAGTGACCAAAGTGTGATACCAAATGGCTTCATTCAGGATAAACCATTATCCCTGTTACCCTGAGTCCCAATGTTGCAAAATACTCAAGCATGGGAGCAACCTGGTTGAAGCCAATATACTTGATGAAAAGCCACTGAAATGAGATAAATCATTTGGCCATTAGGTTAGTGGATCAGACCTCAGTAATATTTGTTCATTTAATTACTTGCTTCAATGTTTTGTTGAATCAAACTAATTGCACAGCCATTTGTAGGATGCAGGAAGGTTTAACTGTCACCACTGTTGACCTAAAGCCAAACTGTGTCTTACAGTCAGCAATAAAATAGCTTCCCAGTTACATATCCAGTTAAACAAAATTATGTTCCTCATCTCTGAAAGACGTAAAAGAGCTGAAGCGTACAACTTCTTTATGACAGAAGACACAAACTGAATCAAGTCAGGAAGCACTCTAGGATGCCTGTAATTAAAGACCATATTCTGGATGGGTTCTTTTAAAACAATTTCCTTTCTTATGACCTACTGCCAGGGAGCACGGACAACAGGCTTTCCTCAAAAGATCTTTTAAATCTAGGTCACTACACACTAAAGCTTAATGTGTCTCATCCCCGAGACTCCCAAAGTAATTAGATAAAAGCCTACCAAAGAAGTGCCAGCACAACCCTGATCTGCTGTAGTCTCACATCATACTCCTGCACGGTGGATGTCTGCTTGGGTTTGCCTCAGACTGAAGTTTAAGACCGGCTCACGCCAGCAGCACTGACCAGGGGCTGAAATACCTTCCAGAGGGAACACTTTCTGTCTGCCTGAAAACTAAGGCAGCCTGAACTATTTCAGACCACCCTGACTTTTTCTGGAGGCCTGAGGGTTCAATGGATTAACCACATTCAAAAAGCAATTTGTTTCTTTACATGCGTCTGCAAAACAAAATGAACACAGCTCTTGATAGGCTCAGAATAACTCCAAAACTCCAAAACTAAAAGCACTTTTTATGCGGCAACCTGGTCTGACAGCTGTGCCTGGAGCTGGAGCAGCAGGTCCATCAGCTCACACCAGCCTGGGTTCTGCTACGTTTAAGCACTAGAGAATGGAGCCGTGGATATCTGAAGCAGCAAAACACACATATATAAATATATTTTTTAAATAGTGTGGTTTCATAAAATGCTGCTGTATCCCCAAACAGCCAAAATGCCAGGGACCAAATTCTACATTTGTCTTACCAAAGTATTATGAAACCCCTAACTGAGTGCTGAAATTTTCCTGAAGAATGCATCTGCCCTGTGAAACAAGGCAGAAAGGAGCTGGGGAGCGTTAAGGGAAA